TATTTTTTTTTCTTGCATACTGGATTTTGACCTCAACAATTTAAAACAAATACTATGAAAGCTATTTAAACTACAGCCCTATAACTTACATTGCTTGCAACACAGCATAACGAGTGTTCATAAGTATTGTGATTTTTATGAGACGAACAACACTAGTAGTAGTGACCTCCACCCTACTGTACATCTATGACAAAGTAACAAAAAAACCCACCAACCTTATTACCCTTATTGCAGATTTGAGCATTTTTTTGTGAAATAGTCTTTCTGAAGTGAAAATATTTGTCACTTTACAAAGATTAAAACGTGTTGTGTTTTAATAAAGGAAAAGCAAAAACCTGAAGTCCTACAATCTAATGTATTCAGCCTTACCTTGTACAAAATTAGCCAGGAGACGGCAGCATAATAAAAATAAATAGAGAGTCCCATTGTCCTTCAGCAGAATTCAGACAGCATTCTTCATTCTGTCGCTTGTGTAGAAATCTCGCATAAGTGAAAGGGGTTAAACATTAACGTGAATGTTTTCATTTAAGACTTCATCTGGCTTCCCGCAATGCTTAGCATATTTATTCTGCACTAATGCTGTTTAGCTTCAGAAACGTCCTCTGCTTCACAATAATGAGAGAAAACTTGAGCTTGTCCAAATTTCTATTGCCACTCTTTCTGAGACAGCCTTTAAAGGATTGAAATCAGACTTTCAAGTACGTTTGCTGATTATAAATAGTATTGCTTTACCTCAGAGGCTTTAACCTCTGCACTGCTGACGGAGCATGCTGGATGATGAGAACTGGAAAGGAAACCAACCCTCTCCTCCTCCTCCTCCTCCTCCCCCGGTTCTTAACTGTTTCCCTGCTGAAACTTTCCAATTTGCAGCAAATAAGTGTAGCAAAGAGTTGCCGCTGGTTATTTCTAGTAACTGGAAGCTTAAAAGATAATAAAGGAAGTATCTCCTTCCAAAACGGAATGTTTACTGTGTTACTACTTTTGTAAAGGTTCTCGGTGTTTTTAATAAGCGAAAAGTTAACATCTTAAATTTACTGGAATTAGGAAGCTTTGGGGTTCTAGAAACAAGAAGGCTGATGTATTTTGGACACGTTCAGATAAAAATAGCATCGTGGTCAGAAAGAAATAGAGAGAAAACCTCAAAGTAAATTAAGGCACAGCTGCAGGTATGGCAGATACAAAGTTATAATTGACTTTAAGGGAGCTCTGTAAATACAAGCTTCTACTTGGACAGTATTTTTGTAGTAGGTGCTACAACTTCTGAGTGAAAGTTCACATTCTGTGAATTAGTACGTAGGACATTTTCCACTCTTCCCAAGTTATCATTTACTCTTTGCCCCAGTGTGTGTCTGAGTAGGGTGGCGATGTCAAAAATTGTGTTAATCAAATCTTATGCTGCTGATCTTCCAATGAATAAACCTCTAGAAGAGTATCTCTCTTAAAACATGTTTTTAGGTAACTATTACAAGAGACAATAATCTTTAATACATGAGCTTGTGTGGCTGGTAAATGAACGGTGACGTGGTCCTTAGTTGAATAGGATGTTTGGTCAATCCTCTTTCCAAATACTACCCTGTTTAAAGAGGGGCAGTCAGGTTGCAGTCATACATGTTCCATAACCTGGTGAGAATTATTTTGGAAAAGTATTCATGTCTTTATACGTTTCCTAGTAATGGTCATATTTAGGTGGACT